AACTTAACTTTTATATGTACTGGGAAATCAAAAATTTCATGACTTGCTTTATTGCAATATTTGCTTTATTGCTATGGTCTGGAACAGAACCCACAATATCTCTGAGGAATGCCTGTACAAGAAACATATAAAAATAAAGACATATAAAAATAAGAGCATAAAACAAAAGTGTATTCTGATTTGAAAAAAAAAAGGCAAGAGTTGCAAATATATTATCAGACCAGGGATTTTTAATATTTTTTGTGTTGTGGACCCCTTTAGCAGTCTTGTGAAATCTGTGGGTCAGAATAATGTTTTTAATGCATAAAATAAAATGTATAGCATTGTAATGGAAAACCAACATTATAAAGAAAAACAACAATGCTGAAATAGAGCTATCAAAATGTTTTAAGACACCAATTTTACGGATCCCAAGAAATCCTGTGCTAGACAAAGCAAAAATAAAAATTCACAGCATCAAGGGTGATAAGGAAATTGTACTTACAAAAAGGAACTACAGATAATAATACTATATTAATACTAAATGTATGTGTATGTATATGTACATATTTGTATAATATATGGCATCTTTTGAATCAAAACCGTAAAAAATATCTTTTTCTAACCACATAGTCTTATTTGCAAAACTAGATCATAGCCTATATCATGGAAAATTTTTAAATAAATATAAAAAAACATAAATGCTAACTAAGCACAGCATATTTAAAGACCATAACAATAAAAATATTCATATTCTATAGTTTTTTCAGCCATCTTCTCATAAGCATCTACCTTTTCCTTTTCTGCTACCATTAAAAGTTATGCTATGAATTTTTTTTTAAATATGAGACCTTTGTTTCTGTCTTTGATGCCATCACAGAATTGTTGAGTCACTGTACATTGTTTTGTAACTTCTCTTATATAATTCCAAATTATTTTCCAAAATGGTTGGATCAATTCACAGCTTTGCTAATAGTGCACATGCCTCTACTTCAGCAAATCGTAGCCTTCCTTTTTTAAAAAATAAGTTTTTATTGATGTCTTTTTTTTTACAGTCATAATTATCCCTGGTATCCTTTCCCTTCTCCCAGAGAGCCATCCTATATAAGAAATAATATTTTTAAAGACAAAAAAGAAAAGGTGAAAAAATCTAATCAATAATTGAAAAAGTTGGGGCAGCTAGATGGCGCAGTGGATAGAGCACTGGCTCTGGATTCAGGAGGACCTGAGTTCAAATCTTGCCTCAGACACGTAAAACTTACTAGCTGTGTGACCCTGGGTAAGTCACTTAACCCCATTGCCTAGCAAAAACAAACAAAAACAAAACAAAACAAAAAAACAAATAATTGAAAAAGTCCAAAAACATACACACTTTGTAACACCTATGGACTTCCCACCTCCATGAAGGGGTGGATTGCGAACACCCTGTCATATTTCTTCATTTGATTCGTGCTTGATCTTTATAATTTTGTTATATACACTTTTTATGTGTGTAGTTCGCTTTACCTTGCTATAGTTATTATGCTTACTTTACCCTTCATCAGTTCATATAGAACTTATCATGCTTCTCTGTGTGCATCATATACTTCATTTCTTAACAGCACTGTAGTGTTCCATTACATTCATAATCCATGATTTGTTTAACCATTTCCCAATCAATGGCATCTACTTTGTTTCCAAACCTTTTCTATTACAAAAAGTGCTGCTACAAATATTTTTGGTATATATAGGAACTTTCTTAACAATGACTTCCTTGAGGGATAAGCCCAGCAAGAGAGTCTCTTGTTTGAAAGATATGGACACTTTAGTCACTTAATTTGTATAATGCCAAATTTGCTTTCCAAAATAATTGTACCTTTTCACAGCTCCACCAACAATGTATTAATGTGCCATCTTTTGTCTTCTTTGACGATTTTTAGGCTGTGAGGTAAAACCTCAAGATAGTTTAAATTTGCATTTCTCTCAGTCATTTGGAGCATTCTTTTATGTGGTTGTGAATTCTTTGTAATTCTTTTAAGAACTTTTTTCTCTCTCAGCCTCTTCCTTTCCTTCTCTAGGTGTATGAATTTTTTCTATGTAGGAGCTTTTTAGTTTCATGTAATTAAAGTTGTCTATTTTACCTTTTGTAATTGCCTCTATTTCCCGTTTGGTACCATATCCTTCCTTACCCAAGACTCACCTCCTCCATTAAAACTTTCCTGAGTTTACTTCATCTGCCTTGAGGCATTTTAATTACTCTAGCAAAGTGATGGAGACCCATTTCTTAACATGTTTTATGCCTATGACTGTATGTTGTTCCTGAATAGACAGCAAATTTATTGAGGGTTGGAGCTTAGTATTCCTTCCCTTTTCACCTGTTAGAATCCCTTCCCTCTTCTAAGGACTAACTCAGATGTCTCAAGTTAACAAGCATTTATTAAGTGCTTATTCTTGTTCTGAACTCTGGGAATATATATACAAGCAGAAAGAGAGTTCTTGTTCTTGGAGCTTACATTCTGATGTGGAGATATCACACATAAAAAAGGAAGCCAGAATAAGAGGAAGGGGATGTTGCAGGGTAGAAGAGGAGGGAAAATGTAACTGAGCCTGGAGAGGAATGAACTAAGATGTGGATGTCTTGAGTACTTTCTCTAAAATAGGGTTACCTAGGAACAATCAACCATTTAGAGTAAGGGGACAAAGGGCCAGAGTGGATTTGCAGGGTGAGGAGCCTGCACAGAGTCAGAGTGCTTTTCCAAGGAGTAAAGGCTTTTGTGACATGATGGAGAAAGTTCAGAGTCAGGAGTCTCATAGTCTAGAGAGAAATGAACATTCGTGAATCCTTACATGATCTTCTCTAACTGCCTATCCCTAACAGAATTCAGAGCACACTTTGTTTTGTATCTCTCTTTGTCTTTTGTAATATTGTACGTTATAGTTTTCTATATGTATGTCATATCCTTCTATCTCCCCAGTGCCTATTATAGGTGGAGCTTAAATTTGTGTTTGAATTAGTTTTCACTTTGCACTTTTGACTTTTCATCATGTGGAAGGAACTCAGTAAATGGTAGCTACTAAGTGCTTTGTTGTATGTTTATTTGTTGATATGAGCATTCTTGGGGTTTGAGGCCATTTATGTGACCTGAGTTAATTGGGTACTTGGGTTCCTTTGCCTACTTTTAGGGTTTTCTGGAGTCCACCATGTCTGGCGCTTAGCAATATTTGTTTCTCTCCTCCTGGCCCTAAGTGAAGGGAGGCCAGCTGTCCAAGAGTTCTGATGAGTGTATGTGGAGGGATTGGGGTGGGACAAAGAAGGGGGAGAAGAAAACATTCTGTTTAGATCTAGGTTAGATCTAGCATCTCTATATTGAAACACTTAGCCATTCAGAAGATAGCAGTAAATTTAACAAATGAGGATTTTTTGGAACATGCTGTCATTCATTCTTTCCTTCTTTCTAATAAAATATAAACTGAGCAGAGATTAGATAAGAGTTTACATATGAAACAGAGATAGAAATGGTGTAGGATTCCACTTTGTGACTTATTCCATTGCTATCCAACTTGATATAATTTTTTTTATATCATTCTGGAGTCAAGGAATGGCAAATAATAGTGCAAGGGACAATCCCAAGTCAGAGTCAATTTATTAAATGCCTAATCTGTGTTATACACAGTGCTAAAGCACTGGGGATACAATAAAATGGATAAGGTAGTCCCTCCCCTAAAAGAGCTCACAATCTAATAAGGAGAGAGACAGCACATAAGAAGCTGAAAAGGGGGAAGCTTGAAAAGGTTACCTGTCACAGGGCGTGATAAAGTCATGCAGTGGGAGAGGCAAACTATCTGAGGAGGTGTTAGTTTCTGAATTGATTGCATCTTGCAGAATGATGAGTTTCTGAAGATGATGAAGTCCAGGAAAGTAGCTAGGTGGCAAATGATGAGAATTCCCTGAGTGCCATCCTTAAATGAGGAGGATCAAGAAGGAGCTTCCAAATGTCTACTTCCTGCCCTCTCCAGCCAGAGAGAGGGAAGAGCCTCAGGAGCAGGGGCTACTGAGGAGTGTGAGTTTCTGAGTTTTTCATCTTGCAGTATGATGAGTCTGTTTTTGTCTGGCCTGTGAGCTAAGAATTATTTTTACATCTTTAAATAAAACAAAACTTTAATTTAAAATGTAAAAATCATTCTTCAGGCCATAGTTTGCTGATCCCCGTGGCGTTTTCAGGTGATGCAACAGGACACTTGGAATGAACATATCAGCACTAATAGTTATTTAATGTTCGAGACTAACTTGGACTCTTAACTTTTCTGATATTGACTGGTTAAGGTAAATACTATAACCTCAGTGGTAGGGAGAACTTGAGCATGAACATGTTTACCTTAAGAGGAGAATCTGTTCGTTACTATCATGTTTTGTTTTGTTTTTTTAATTTTTTCAATTAACAAAAAAAAATGTCTTTCCCTCCTGCTGCCTCCCTCTCATTTAAACACCACCACCAAAACCTTTGTGACAAATATACATAATCAACTAAAACTAATTCCAGCATTGCCCATATCCAAAAATTATATGTCTCAGTCTTCACCCTGAGTCCATTGTCTGCTGACAGGAAGTAGTTAATGTGTTTCATCATAAGGCCATCTAGAGTCATAGTTTCTCATTGCATTCACTGGTCAGTTTTTAAGTCTTTCAGAGTTGTTTGTCTTTTAAATATTACCTAAATTGTACTGCTGGTTCTGCTCACTTCATTCTACATCGGTTCATACAAGTTTTTCCATGTTTCTCTAAAACTATTCCCTTCATAATTTGTTTAGCCACTCCCTAATTGAGGGGCACTCCTTTGGTTTCCATTTTTTTTTTTTTGCCACAACAAAAAGACTTGCTATAAATACTTTTGTATCAGCATAATATTTAAAAGCATTTCACCTAGCAGGTCTTTCTGATGCAGCTATAACCCTGTAATCTACAACCCTGAAAAAAATGGTACATTTCCTCAGCTTCTTAGTTATTCATTTGTAGTGTTTCCCTGCCCCATTTTTTTTTTCAGTTGTTTGTGGTCGATGTCCAGACAGGCCAGATCACCAAGATTCCCATTTTGAAAGATCGAGAACCTGGAGTGGTGACCCAGCAGGGCTGTGGTATCCATGCCATCGAGCTGAACCCCTCAAGAACTCTACTGGCCACTGGAGGAGACAACCCCAACAGCCTTGCAATCTATCGGCTGCCTACGTTAGATCCTGTGTGTGTGGGAGATGTAAGTTGTTTCTAAATGTAGCTGGGGACGTATAGTGGAAAGAAATAGCAACTGCTGTGATGTTCAACTATTTGAGGTTTACCTAGACTTTCATATCATGCATAATGGGGAAAAGAAACAACTACTGTAATGGTCATCTATTTGAGGTTTGCCTAGACTTTCACATCAGAGTTGTACTTACGTTCCTGCATGATGATTGATGCACCTGGTTTAAAATGTCCAACAGGGACGTGGAAATGAATCATGTACACGTGTCACCATGTTCCTATTTGCTCTAGAAGTTGAATTTAGAAACTAAGCTTCCTTGTGTGTAGTCCAAGATAGGGCAGCCACAAAATGAAGGATCCAGAGAAGCTCTTATAAAGTGTTTCTGTGGAGTGGACCTCCCTCTGGTATTCTATCCATCTTCCCTTCTCTCTTCCCCCTGAGACCAGTATTAGAATTGAGTGCCGTTTACTTAGTATGGGCCTAGAAAAGTCAGGGTTTACCCCAGCTGGAAACCAGGAACACAAACATAATCTTATATAATTATCTTCTTTGGGGGTTTTATGATGATATTGTACAGTAATATAATTGGAATGAAGAATCCCACTGTTAGCTACATGCTGTCACAGACTATTTAAAAGATGAGGCATATTCTTATAATGGGCAATAGATAATAAAATCTACAGAGTTACCACATTTACTCACAAACTCTGATTCCCTTTGGAATTCCTGCCAAAATGTGTATGAGATGAAGATGTATCTAACTTCTCAATCCATGACTTTAGAGATTTCTTTTACACCTTCAGATTGACAAAATTTCCAGGTATTAGGGAGAATTTAATAACCTTTGAATATTTTAAGTTAAAATACTTTCTTTTTTTATTTACAATTGTTAATTGGGAGCTTATTTCCTAGAATTTGGAATTTGTCCCAAGTGGCAAGTTACTTTTATTCATGTTAAGAGTTGTTGCTAGTGGAATCTAACAAAAGGGTAAGCTGAGACAGCCCTCCAAGCAAGATAACATTTATTAGCAGGGGCATGATTTCTGTCAACAAATGGGTCAATGTCTTGCCTCTATTTATACCGAAGACTCCCCAGCAAAAGGACAGTTTCCCTTTTATAGGTTTTAGGGAGTAAAGAACAAAGAACAGAACAGGGTAGATTGTTGAGGATAACATGATTGGTTATAGAGCTGAGGTGCAAGGAACAACATGATTGGTTGGAAGTTTGATAATGGGGCCTGGCAACAAAGCCCTCTTTACCTTCTGGTGCAAGATAATAAACCAGATATCCCTAAAGGATAATTTGGGATGTAAAGCTATTAGGCCTGACTCCCTTGTGTTCACATGCATTCCCCAAGGTCAGCTAAATTCCTTGAGGCACAAATAAGTCAGTGCTTAGCAAGAGAGCTGGATTTTTACACTTAACCCATTGTAGGCCAGCTGAATCCTAAACTAAGTTTAGAGACAAAGAGCCATAGCTCTTAACCATTTACAGACAAAAGCAGTTACAGAACAAAATCAATTAATTGTAAATAAGATCAATAAGAAAATGATACAGGATCAATTTAATCTCAGAATCATCTAAAATCAGTTGATTCTTGACTTTAATGGCACCCATGCTATAGACTTTTATTTCCCTTTGCCCTATTTCTGTCTTTTCTTTGAGGAACCATAAAGTGATGCTGAGAACTAGTCTGAATGGATGTTGAAATGTGTTTGGAGCATAACCCTAAGCATTCCTTTAATATCTCATTTTGGAGTTGATTGAACCCTATCTTGGATCCTTTTTGTTTTTAGACAGTACTACTTGTTTAATGAATTCCATGATTTTACTTCCTACTTCACTAAGTATCAGTTTCTCCTTTTATATTAAGTATAAATTTCTCTCTTTCAGTTTCAGCGGATGTGGATATGGCTGCTATTTTTTAGTACTTTGAGATTGGGTATAGACTTTGTTGTTCATACCATTCATAACTTCATAGCCTTAGCTCATCTAACACTTTGTTCTTCCATACTGAAGAATCTAAAGTGTTTTAATCTCTTCTAAAAAACTAATCCAGCTCTCCAACTCGTGGATCATCTTAGTTGTTTTTATGTACCTTCTCAAGCTCTCTTATGTGGCAGCGACCAAAACTATACATTGCATTCTAAGAGCAGGGGAATTCTGATTTTGTATAGGGGGAGAGTTATGTTTTCTGTCTCCAAGCTTTCCTAATAATGTCCAGCATTTCATTGTCTAGAAGAATCAAACTTACTTTTTGTTCTGCTGAGCAGTTAGTCATTTGTCAAAATAGAACCTTTCCTAGCTCAATTCAAGTTCTTTTTTTAAATTCATTTTGAACTTAAATGCAAAAAGAGAGAAAAAATTTCCATTTACACAGTACAATACAAAGAGAGGATTCAATATGAAACCATAATCTTCATTTTACACAGTTTATTTTTAAAAAAACTATGTAATAAATACTACGCATCATTTTCAAAGCTACCGTGCTTTTCTGTGCTTCCACTGAGTTTTCTTTTGTTCTCTGCTGTGCACTTTTAATTTTTTTCTCCCTCCCTCCCCACACTGCATTAGAGAAGGCCACCATTACACACAGATATGTTTATATATTTACACACACACACACACACACACACACACACACACACACACATATATGTAAAAACATCTTTTTATCAGTTCTTTCTCTGAAAGTAGATAGCATCTTCCTTCATAGGTCCTTTATAGTTGATTTGAGCATTTATAATATTCAAAATAACTTGGTCATTCACAGTTGTTCTTCAAACAGTATTGCTGTTACAAGTGTTCTCTTGGTTTTGCTCATTTCACTCTTTATTATTTCCTGCAAGTCTTTCCATGTTTTTCTAAGATCAATGAGCTCATCATTTCTTGTAGCACAGTCCCATCACAATCATATACCACAACTTATTTAGTCATTCCTCAATTGATAGGCATCCCCTCAATTTCCAGTTCTTTGCTACCACAAAGAGAGCTGCTATAAATATTTTAGAACATGTAAGTTCTAGGGGCAGCTAGGTGGTGCAGTGGATAGAGCACCGGCCCTGACGTCAGAAGGACCTGAGTTCAAATGCGGCCTCAGACCAAACACTTGACACTTACTAGCTGTGTGACACTGGGCAAGTTATTTAACCCCAACTGCTCCCCCCCAAAAAAAACCACATGTAAGTTCTTTTCCTTTTTCCGTGATCACCTTGAGAAACAGACCGAATAGTGATATTTCTGGGTCAGTGGGTATACACAGTTTTATAACTCTTTGGGTTATAAATCCAAAAAGGTTGGATAGTTCACAGTTCCACCAACAGTCAATGTGTCCCAGTTTTTCCACATCACCTCCAACATTTGTTAATTTCCCCTTTTATCATTTTAGCTAACCTGATATGTGTGAGATCCATTCAAGTTCAAACATCTGTTTGCTTCTGTGCCCTCTTAGAAAGATGCAGCCGTCATGTCATGTAATTTACATTACTTAAGCCTTGTGTGACTGAACAGGGAGTTTATGCCAAGGGGCAGACCTAGTCTCTTTATTTTCCCAGTTTTCCCTCCCAAAGTACATAGCATTAGCAGAAAAAATGACAGAACTACATAGGGAAAGAGGAATAGCCATTTAAAAAAACTTGGCTTTATTGACACCTTTTGTTTTTACATCCATCATTTCCACCCACCCTCTGAATTAAACTCTCCCTTGTAATCAAGAAAAACAGTTAAGCAAAGATAGCCAATATAGTGACCATGCCTGATGGTTATAGGTTATAGTTTACCCTAGTAGTCCCCCTGCCTCTCTGGTGAGAATAAGGAGATAGGTCTTGTTAATGGTTCTTGTGGTTCTTTCTATGAGACTATTATTTTCTTCTTCTTTCTTTTCATCTCTTCCCACATTTGACATTAAACGTAAGCAGCCTTCCTAGCATGGGGCTTTCTCTTGACCTTTCAATTTAAGCCTTAAAAAAGGCTCTTCCTTAAAAAAAAAAAAGGCCCTTCCTTGACCTCCAACTTTTCAAACTCTTCCTGTCTGTCCTTTTCCCCCCTTCCTCATCTTTTTTTTTAAATTTCATTTCATGAGAACTGAGGCTTAAACCAAACTGATTTTTTTATTGCTTCTATAGAAAGCAAAACTTTCTTGTTCATATTGTGGATTTTAGATTAATAGGCCAGGTAAACTTAGTCTTTCAGGATTGATTCAGTAGCACCAGGTAGAAAACAGTATAATCAAATCCCAAATCTAATCATTTACACAACACTTAAATTGGAGCAAGATGGCATCCTGCTAATGAGAGGCATTTGAGTCAGCAAGAATGATTTGAAGGCCCCTGTCTCATCCCATCCTACTTTTTAAAAAATTCAGTAAAAAATTTAATTTTAGAGTTTAATAATTATAAATGCTTGTGAACATTTAATCAATCAAGAATTAAACCTCAGTCTAAGGCCTTACATATGCACTTTGAAACAAAAGTACAAATCGTGAAAAATTCCTGGGGGGCTTCTTCACCATAAGGAAATAATTAACAATGTTAAACTATCTTGCACTCTGAACATCATAAATTGCAAAGTCAGCATTTTATATCACTGATTTTATTCATTAATATGAACATAAAAAACGTAACTATGGTTGAATATTACAACAAAAACAATAGCTAGTAGTGAGTGTACTGAGATGATTGTAGTTCTTCACTCATTCATTATTGCATATAAAAGCCAGCATTACAGTGAAGAGTATTCACTGGCTCCCATTAAGAGGTTTGACACTGAACACTACTTCATACTCATCATCCTTATAAATGCCACTGTTAGTCCCTATTGTAATGTCATCTTCTTTCTTGAGATAAGTCAAAGTTCACCAGTTCTACTTGATCCATTTCTCCAGTCTCCTCTACTTCCTTTCTTTCAAGCAATAACTTTTCCAACAAAGATAGCTTATCTGATGAAAGAAAACCATTCTCTGGAAAGTTTACCTTAAAGTCAATTATTAGAATCCTTTTTTCATAAGGTCAGCAATAAATCTGGATGCCTTAATTCAACACACATTTGATATTTCTATTTCCATGCTTGGCAATCTGACCAGGGCGAGAAGGAATGATTATAGTTCTATTGTCAAGAGTTGATGTTGGTTTTTGAAAACCACACAATGCTTTGATGAATTGGATATCTGTACACATGAAAAGGTCCTCAGCTCATTGTGTAAATATAGCGTGGTCCTTCTGATCCAAAGCAATGTTAATATCTCCTGGCTCAAGTCCTGGCTCCTAGTCACCTTCATTATGGAATGTTATTTTCTGACCATCTTTCATGCCCTTGTCATTATGAACCTCCAGAATCTTTTTCACTTGAACAGTTTTCCTTCCACTGCAACATTTAAGTCTATCTTTAGGTCTGATTTGCTCCCTGTGCCCTTGGCATTCCATGCAAATTGATTGAATTTGCTGAACCATTCTAGGTTCTATCTGATGAATTCTTATTTGCATTCTAGTATCTCTGCATTTGATACAGCATTCTACAGCTCCATTCTTAAATCACCCTGTCCTTCACATTTATCACAAATCAAATTCTTTTGCAAAGCCAGTTTCTTGTTGTACCATTATATAAATCTTCTAAGGTCACTGGCAACTGATGAACAGCATTTTTATCTCTCTGTTTCTTTTGCCTTCTTCCACTTCCTCCAAAAAAAATAGCAAATATTTCAACTAGAAAACCAAAGCCATTAGCAGAACCACCCTTTTTGATGGCTTGTTCTCCACCTTTGTCATATAAGTCCCTTCTTTGCATCAGAAAGCATTTCATAAGCTGAGAATTGTTTGAACTTTTCTCCTTCATTTGAATTCTTATCTGTCTTAGCTATCAGGTGGTATTTCAAAGATAGCTTCCTATATACCTTTTTTAGTTCTTCCTGGAAGGCATTGAGTTTTACCCCCCAAAAAAATCATAATAAGGCTTTCTTCCCCATTTTCTATAATCAAGGAGTGATATTCCCACTGTGGAAATGTCAGTGTCTGGGGGATGAAAGGGGACTGCTAGTGAATCATTTGGGATGTTGGGGGAGCAGGTGGAAAAAAGAGAAGGTTGGGGTGGGGTGAGTTATTTTGCATGGAGCTAGGGCAGCGACAGCTCCTCTTCTCCCTCTGCTTTTCACCAAGTGTTCTGGAAAGTTCCCCATCCCATCCTATTTAAAACACTAACTTGATCCTCAGAAAGTTCTGAGACCAGAAATTAAATCTAGAAACAGTGTTAAGAACCTTTCAAGAAGGAGAAATCATTCTTGGTCATGCAGAGATGGCAGAATTGAGATGGGACAATGGCTTTTATTAACAATTCAGCTATTTTTAACTTTGCTTGTTTCAAGGGATAAAGATCCATATATGTAAAGCAAATTTCTGCTTTAAATAAGCAAATATAGTATTAATAGAAATGGAAATAGTTATTAATGTGATGATATTCAAGATTAGTGGTGTCAAACTCAAATAGAAACAGATCCCCGTGGGCCACATATGACTAAGAAAACCACAAATTACCATTATGTATATTGTACTATAATTTTATTTATTTTGTTAAACATTTCCCAATTACATTTTAATTTGGTTCTACATTCAGAACCAGAGTTTTGTGAGCCACACACTTCAAATAATTAATTTTGAATGATGGGGCTATTAGCATTGTATTTTGTTTTGTTTTGTTTTTGCTTGGGAAACAGGAACAGTTCTCCTGGGAATATGTAAGGGAGAATCAGGCAAGGACTTGAGATAAATGCCAGCTGAACTCATTTACTGATTCCCAGGCACCACCATTTCCTTAAGAGAATTGATTTTCTCTCAGTTTCAAGAAAGATATGGAAAAAAGAGAGAGAGAGAGAGAGAGAGAGAGATCTGGAGATGTTTATGTCAGTATCCATTGGTTAGAATGTTATTACATTTATCATTTTTACAAATGTGTGTTGGAATAGACTATAGCTGCCATTTTAGCAAATTGATTTGTAGGTTTTCTTTTGCTGATTCACAGACTCAAAATAATGGAATCAGTGTGATGAGCCCTGATTTTCTTTTCTTCTCTCCCTTGCTTCAAGGATGGACACAAGGACTGGATATTCTCTATTGCATGGATCAGCGATACCATGGCAGTTTCTGGTAAAATTATCATATTCTAAGATGATTTTCAATGTTGTAGGATCTTTTGGAACTTTCTGGCTAAGGGATTCTCATCACACAGTTGACAAAAACTACAGAGTACTTGATTCAAAAGAGCTTAGGAGCCTAAAGTAATAGGATATATTCTGTAATTCTCCTTAGAATCATTTTTGAGTAGACTTATCAATGCTAGAGGCAACAAAGAACGTATAGGAGTAGGAGCCAGAAGACTAGAGTGAGTGAGTAGTCAGTCAACAAATATTTATTAAATGTCTACAGTGTGCCACGTACCGTAGGATACAAACACAGTGAGTGAAATAATCCCTGCTTACAAGGTGCTTACATTCTAATGGCTACAATGACCTATGTCAGTTTATACAGAAAAAAATACAAAGGTAATAAGCACAAATAAACACAAACTAGCTAAATGCAAGGTGATTTGAAAGGGAGGCACTAGCAGCTGAGGGGATCAAAGAAGGCTTCATGCATAAGATGGTGCTTGACTGCATCTTGAAGGGAGAGCAGGAACCTCTGAGCTAGAAGTGAGGAGGGAGTACATTCCTGGTATATTAGGCGGTCAGTGCAAAGACAAGAGATGGAAAATGGAGCACTGCCTGTGAGGAACAGGGAAAAGGCTGGCTTGGCTGGAGCTCAGGATGAGGGATTGGCTAGGAGGGAGGAAAAGGGTACAATGAGGTTGGAAAGAAAATTCCCTTTGGATCAGTTCTTTACTCTTTTCCTTGGTTGTATGACAAGACTTTTATTTCAGGGAGCTGCAGGATTTTTTTAAAATGAATTTAAATATAGGAGAGAATCTAGGGCTATGCGATTTTCAGGCTCTGGCATTTGAAAGAAGTTGTACTTGTAGAGAAAATGTTTTAGTCAAGTATTTATTTTAATATTGCCAGCAGCAAACTCAAAAAAGGAAAGTAAAGGATCCCCAGAACTTTATCTTTCTGTCCAAAATCCTACATATGTTTTTTTTTTTTTAGCTAAGAGTAACATTTTAATTTGAACTTGGCAGTAACCACTGAGCTGGTTCTATACCAGATTGCTAAGAAGTATAGGCAAAAATACAAGAATGCTCCACTCCCTTTGAGTTCCTATCTGAGGCTAGGACCTACCAAGAGTTGAGTTATTGATTTCTCACATTTCCCTTAAATATTATTTGTCTTCCTGTGTCCCTTCTAAACCTAGGTGCTAGGGTGAGGACAGTGGCACACAAGGAAGGTACTTAAGGTGACTAGGAGGTGAATTTTGTTGTCTTTATCCCTAAGGAAGGAAAGTGACATGAAGCTTATTTAGGATGCTGCCTGAACACCAGTTTTATGGCCTCCAACTCATCCTCAGCTACTCATTCTCCCTTATTCTACACATCCAACAGCTTCCAAGTCTTCTTGATTCTAGCTTCACAATATCTCTCACATCTATCCTGTTCTTTCTAATTACTAGCTCACCAGCCTTGTTCAGGCCCTCATCTGGACTCAGTAATCTCTGCCTCAAGTCTCTCTCCTCTCAACTGCTGCAGTGATTTTCCTAAAGCACTGGCCTGACCATACCACTCCTCCACTCAATTAAGTAGCTCCAGTAACCCCCTCCTAACCTTTAGCATCAAATACAAGCACCTTTGTTTGGTATTTAAAACCTTTCAAAATCTAATTCCACCCTGCATTTCCAAGCTTGATTATACATTACTACATGAACCTAATCTCTATGGCTGTTAGTGCCTCACCTTTCCCAAATTATCTTGTATATATTTTATATATATATCTACATGTGTATGTGCTGTTTTCCTCATACAGTAGAATGTAACCCACTTAGGGCAAGTACTGCTTGGGGATACAAAGACAAAAGGCAGCGACTAGAAACAGTGCTGTCATGTGGCAATATTGCCATACAGTAAGTACTTGTCAACTGATTGCTTGAAGTGCCTTTATATGGCGTACTGTGCTAGGCACTAAGAATGTAAAGACAAAAGTTTGACCTCAAGGACTTTCTATCCTCTTGGAGGTTTACTATTTGTAGGCAGTTGATGTAGGCATGAGTAGGCATGTTATTTTGAGAAGGTAGAGTTCTCTAACTGAGAGAGTTGAGAACACTTTACATAAGAAAGTGGTCCTTGAGTTAGTCTTTAGATGAATATAAAGAGTCTAAGAGACAGAGGTAAAGAGTAGGGGACTACATTCCATGCATGTGGAATAAACTATGACAAGGCATGGAAACAGGAAGTGGTGTGCAGAATTTATGGAATACCTAGTAGGCCTATTAAGATAGAACATAAAGTTAAGGAAAGAGAATAATATGAAATTCATCTAGAAAGGTAGGTTGGAGCCAGGTTAGAGAGGACTTTAAATGGCAATCTGGGGAGACTGCCAAAAGGCAAAAGAATACCAATAAGAAAGAGGAAACTAAGCAGACCCATGCCTTAGACTATTTTGGCAGCTCCATTTGGATAGATTTGAGTAGGGATTTGAGAGACCAGAACCAAAATACCAATTAGGAGGCTATATTGCAGTAATCCTGGCAAAAAGTCTGAACTAAGTGAGTTCTGACTATGTGAGTGTAGAGAAGAGGGTGGATGTGAAGAATGTGGGAATGAACTCCTCCACAATGTTTGGCAACTGAATGTACATGGAGATGAAAAAGAAGGAAGAGTCAAAGGTAAATCTGAGGTTATGAAAGCAGTTACAGAAATAGGAAAGCTTTAGAGGAGGATCCACTTCAGCAAGGAACATAATGAGTTCAGTTTGGGTCATGTTGAGTTTAAGATGCCATCATCAGATTAGAAATGTTTAGCAGGCATTTGACTATGCAAGATTAAAATTCAAGAGAGATGTTGGGGTTGGATGTGTAGTTTAGTGCATCATCTGAGTGGAGCTGATGAGATGAACAAGAGAGAATATACAGAAAGAAGAGAGCCTATGTCTGGATCTTTGGGGACACCAAAGTTTAAGAAGTAGTTGGAAGATACCGGCAAAGAAGACTGAAAAGAAGTAAACAAGCAAAAAGAGAATGATTTACTTTTACCATTTTAAGTATAGTAAGAAACACATTGGAAGGCATTTCATAGCCATGGAATAAGGCAAAACTGTGGCACTAATCCCATTCAGTTACCCTGCTGATGGTCACAAAGGGGTCTGAGCGAGAATGAATGAATGTGTGTCCATCCCAGCAATTGGAAAAATAATCTAAACTAAATGATCTTTCAGTGGTGAGTCAGATGTGGCCCCTTTCTATGAAAAGGATAGTACCTTTAAAGGCAGTAAAGGTGAGAATGGTATTAATAGCTCCATGAGAATCTTGAGTAGGAAAAGGTAAGCCTTACTGACATTTTCCTATGCCACATCCCTGGGGTTGGTTGTGTTAAATTAAAAATCTGTAAGAAAATTTATTCTTTGAAATAAAAGCATTTTATTTCAAAAGTAATTTCTTAGTGGAATTTTTTAAATGTAAGATATTTTGTTATCCCTAAGTATCAAACAACTCACACTTATAATGCATATTGTAGTTTACAAGGAATTTTTCTTAACAGTAGCCCTGTTAGGTGGCTAGTACTTAAGTATCATCTCCTTTATACAGATGAGGAACCCGAGGATCAGAGAGGTTGTGATTTGTGTCCACACACATATCTCAGTCAGGATTTAAACTGAGGCCTGGCAATTCAAAATTGATTGCTTTTCTTTATGCTACCTGTAACTAGAACTGAGGCTCTCAAAATGAAAATGAATCAGAACTTCTCTAGGATCTCCTTATCATTCAGAGTAATAGTTTCTCACCTACCTCAGAGACTATTTCTTTCATTCTCTATCCCACACCTGGCTCTTCTCGTCCACATCAACCTGGTGTTTTGCAGTTATTCCTTTTCCTTCCTGCTAAGGGCCCTCAGAACTGAGGCCTTTAGCATTGATCCCTGCCATGAATTCATATGACAGAACTGTGTGTGAGGCTCAGACATTATTGGTTTTCTCTTTTGGTGTTCCTGATTTAGACCAGGCTAGCTATTTGTAAGAATTAACACAGAATCAGGGCCTGAAGAAAAAGCAGTCAGGAAATCAGGCCTGTGTGACAACACAAATTAAAAAGACACTCTAGCCCTCAACCAGTCCTATTTCAGGACTCTGAATTCTTGTTAGACTCTTAGTAGGATAATGGTGAGTGTGAGAAGGGACAAAGGATTACCAACTGTAAGACATTTGAGAGCTATTGAATCTAATACCTCATTTTACAAATGAAGAAACTAATGCACAAAGAGTTGACTTGTCCAGAGTCACAAAACTAGGCAGCATCTGGGATGTGATTTGAATGCAGGTATTCCTGGCTTGTTCAGCAAACTACCCACTATATCACAAAATCTCTAGGAGCAAGGAAACATTTGTTGGGGGGCAGAGGAAGTTGTCCTAATTTCTGCAAAATTGAACTAATGAAACCCACTGTTTGGTTGTGAGGAAGGTTAGTCAGTGCTTTGTTTGTCCAAACTGAGTACTTGTTTCCTCTGCAGGTTCACGGGATGGTTCCATGGGGCTTTGGGAGGTGACAGAAGATGTGTTGACCAAAAGCGATGCCAGGCACAACGTATCCCGAGTCCCTGTGTATGCTCACATCACACATAGGGCCCTAAAAGACATCCCTAAGGAGAATACTAATCCTGACAACTGCAAGGTCCGGGCCCTGGCCTTCAACAATAAAAACAAAGTAAGGATGTGTGCATGTGCTCACATGTTGTGTGCAGGGGACTGAGAAGTATACACATGGGTGAATATAGACAAACCATAGGAAGATGTCAGTGCTGCTGGGAAATTTGATTACTGGAGCCTGCTTTTGCTTTTTCTTACTGTTAGACAATTTAGGAAATATTTCCTTTTTTCTTGAGCTTTCAGTGAACAAGTCTGGAAGGAGGCATCAGCAACTTTCCCATGATGAGGATGCATCTACATCTTGGGCTTGAGTCAGTATTATCAAGTAACTTGAGTCTTTCTGGGTTCCCAGCAGTGCTCAGTTTGATTCTCTTCTCCCTAAAATGGAGAGAAATATTTGCCAGAAACAATAACAATGTTGTAAGTCCAAAGGTGGGAGCAACTGGACTAGAACACAAGTCAGCAAATAAGACTTGTGTTGGTACCTCTCTCATTTCCCTGAGACAGTCCCCAGCTTAGATAGTTTGTATTTGGTTTGTGCCTGTTTTCCCAGAGTTGTGTGGACTTATTTATGTACACACACAAGTACATGCTTATTTTGTTGATCATTTATTTACCTGCTGTGGACATAGACTCTCACAGGTACTAGAGTCTATTCTTGGACAGATTTTCATATTAATATTTTATTATTACTATGACCCTAAAAACAGTCACTTGCCGTATTGTCTTTCCTTCTCCGATGACTTACACTCCAAAGTTGACTTGGATCTTCCAAATCAGAAGTATAAAATAAAGTGGAGGTAACTTGAGACAGGGCTAGAAGAATCATAAGAACAACAAATGTCTCCAAAAGTGGGGATCAAGCAGTTAGTAATAATAATAATTATTATTATAATAACTTATATTTCTATAGCACTTTAAAGTTTACAAAATGTTTTTACCCTACCAATTCTTAGAGGTAGGTGCTATTATATATAATATATAATAAGTATATATTATATGTAATATTATATTGTATATATAATATTACTAAATATATAGTTATTGTTATCCTTATTTTCCAAATGAGAAGACTGAGACTCAGAGGTAAAGGCATTTCGCCCATAGTCACAGACTTGTGATTCACATCCATTTTTCTTGATTTCTCTAAACCCAGCTCTCTTTCTCTTATACCATATTACCTCTCCACAGTGAAGCAAGAACTTTAATGGGGTGAGATATGTGGAGGGACCAGAATGGGAAATCATGGCTGCCTAGTTCTAGGCACCACCCACCCAGTTCTGCCTTTAATGCCTATGGGACATGAATTGTTGTAGAGGTATCTTTAACCTGCTTCTCATTTTTTCTTCCAGGAGCTTGGAGCAGTGTCCCTCGATGGCTACTTTCATCTCTGGAAAGCAGAACATACACTGTCCAAGGTGTGATCACAGTACTTCCTTTGTGACTTTGTATGAAAATCAGTTAATCTTGTAGTCATGGTGCTCCATGACTTTCTCCTAGTCTCCTAACCAGTTCTGAGATAACTCAGCTATAGAAAACCCCTGGGTACCTTTTTGCCTACAACTAAGCTTGAGGAAATTGTAGAAATCCCTTGAATTTAACTCTTGAATCATTAGAATCCAAGTGTATCCTTCTTTTTGAGAATTCTAGATATTTAAATGGCTCAATTAGAAGATATTTTTTAATTCTTTTCAGTAGTAGCCCTCCTAGTCTATTTAAGTGTTTATAATTAACTACTTGATTAAGGCATTGAGGGCAAATAAAATTAAGTATTAGCCATTGGCAAGTGAATATCAATTATAAATAAAAACAAAGTGTCCCTGAAATTATCATGTAAATCAGTGGGAAGATGGATTCAGTTTACATAAAATTTTTCTAGAATGTATTAAATCCAATGCACTTATATTTGAAATAGTATCTTTCTCTTAATTCTATAATCAAACATTCTTTGTTGCTTGCAACTTCTGTTGTAATTATTGTAATTATTTCTCACAAGGAAGCAGTACTCAGAAAGTCCTTTTTCTTTTAGCAAGTTTGCAAGATTTTGTTCTTCAGGATGCTAGTATAGTGCTTCACATAGACAGGTACTCAATAAAAATCTGTCATGTGGATGAATAAGTGAATCTGACAAGATTCCAATGAGTTTCTTATTGGAGGGTAAAGGGGGATAGAATGAGTTACCCTCCTAATCCTCCCACACATTCACTGCCCTTTTGATTTGCCTTCTGTAGTCTAGACTATCCTAGCAGTTCTGTTGAATGTAATGACTTGGTCAAAGGTAATGAAATTGCTATATTTATTCCACAATGAGGAGAAAGATGGCTCTGTTTGAGTAGAGCAGGTTCCTCAAAACTAATCTCTGATTCTTTGGTTTAAGGCTTATCTTCTTTCCTGCCTTATTCTCACCAATGTCTACCTATTTTCATTTCTTAAAGATGATCACATGCTTTTTTTTTCTGGCAGCTCTTGAAGACTGATTCTCTAGAGACACAGAAGAAAGAGTTTTTATGGGTTTATTTTGTTGATAGCTTATATTTTTACCTGTTTATCATCTTGCCCTCTGAAAGTGTTGGGGTCAGGGGTTGTCTGCCATTTCCTTGTGTCATATGCTCATCCTCTTTCTGTTGGTTTTCAGCTCCTGTCCATCAAGCTGCCATACTGTCGTGAGAATGTGTGTCTGGCCTATGGCCATGAGTGGTCTGTGTATGCAGTGGGCTCCCAAGCTCATGTTTCCTTCTTGGACCCACGACAACCGTCACACAATGTCAAATCAGTCTGCTCCAGAGAACGAGGCAGTGGTGAGAACCCCAATGTGGGCATACTTGCTTTGCCCACAACATGAACATATATATGAGCTAACATACTCCTTCTTGCCCTCTATCTTATTTGGCCAAAATAGCTACAAGGCCAAGAGACACCTGGGCAAAAAATTGCAGATATGTTTTGATTTTTCAAGATGATGAAATCCAAATGCATTATTCTTTGTGGGTAAAATAGGTGGATTTATGGTGTGAGAGTGAAACAGCAATACTTCAACAACGAGAGAACTGTTCCTAAACATCATAAGTAAGTTGTATCCAAAGCCATATTTAGAGCCATGTTGTAAACTAGCAACCAGTAAGTGTTTTGTTTCAGTATTAGCCCTCAGAGCCCTCAGGGGTGGGGAAACTGTGGCTTCGAGGCCACATGTAGACATCTAGGTCCTCAAGTGCGGCCCTTTGACTGAATCCAAACTTCACAGAACAAATCCCCTTAATAAAAGCACTTGTTCTGTAAAATTTGGACTCAGAAAAAAGGCCGCACCCAAGGACCTAGAAAGCTACATGTGGCCTCAAGGTCGCAGGTTCCCTACCCCTGGGTTAAATACCGTTATTGTCCTTCACTGAGACACTGGCCTTTTTTTTTTGCATTGAACCCATGATTTCATTGGTAAAGGAAATGCCTAGTGAAGAAATTCCCTCTACCAATACAAATCCATACCTACCCTGCAACTTATAGTCTTGTTTAAGACCATAACTGTTTAGTTGCCTTGGGCACTGAGAGGTTGAATGTCTTACCCAGGGTCAGCAGCCAGTATGTGTGTCAGAGATAGATTTGAACTTAGGTCTTCCTGACTCTGAAGCCAGCTCTCTGTCCTTTATGCCACCTTGCCTCTCACTGACACTGGCTTCCCAGGACAAATTCAGTTTCTAACTCTATTATTTTCAAAGCCCCAAGTGGTAGAAACATCTGTTCTTCCTCTGCTTGGGACTCTTGGTTGGAGAATATCCTCAATTTCAGTGAAGAATAGCCAAATCCTCCCCTCCTGCTATTTCCATCTTTATCTTTCTGTCCCACTCTAGTATTCTCACTCTTTCCCCCTTCCTAACCTAACACATTTTAGAAACAATAATAATGGCAACACAATACTTCTGTGCGTTTGTATAGTATTTTACAGTTATCACAACATTTTCATATATGTTATCTCATTTGATCTTTATAACAACCCTGTATGAGGTAAGTTGTTTCAGATGTTAGTGGTTTTATAGAAGGGGAAGCTAAGGTTTAGAGAACTTCACCAGCACTATAGCATGGTGCCCATGGCTGGCTACTGAAAATGGATACCAGGTATTGAAATAACTTGCACATGTGGCTGCCAAACTCTTCTCAGTGATTCTGAAGAACACAGGAAAGGAGACTGGGAGGGTGGGAGGATGCCAAGGGAATGGAGACAAGCAGACATTGTCCCGATGTTCAAAAACTGAAAGAAGAAGGATACTTCAAATCATAAGCTCGTGAACTTAGTATTAATTTAGGAAAAATTCTGGAACAAGGTACTAAAAGGACAGTTTCTGAACTCTTAGGGAATAGGTGATAAGCCTGTATGGGTTCATTCCATACTAAACTCATTTCCTCTTTTGACAGGGTTACTATACTAGTTGATCAGGAGAATGCAGTGGACAGAGTAGCTCTGGACGTCAGCAAGGCATTTGATCCAGTCTCTCATGATATCATTGTGGACAAGATGGAGAGACATGGATAGATGATAGTTCAGTTAGGTGGGTTCAGAATGAGTTTACTAAGTAGACCCAAAGAATATATATATTCAGTAGATTGATGTCATACTAAATGGTGGTCCCTATTGGAGTACCCTACTCCAGGGATCTGCCCCTGTCCTTATTCCTTATCAATGACTTGGAAGATGGCAAAAGTGGCATATATTTTTTAAAAAATTCAGATGACATGAAGCTGATAGAAATAGTTAAATAAATTGAATTAAATTGAGATACAATGAGATGGGGATTGTATAGTGAAGATACCAAGATGAAACTTAGTAGGGATGAATGTAAAGTCCTGAATTTGTATTTTTTAAAAAATAAAAATCATACAAGTACAGGATGAAAGAGATGGTACTGGATATTCATATGAAAAAGACCTGGGCATTTTAATGAATTGTAAACTCAGTATGAAGCAGCCTTGTAAAGTGGCAGTAGAAGAGGTTAATGGAATCTCAGACTAAATTGATGAAAGGTAATGCATCCAGAGCCAGGGAGGGGATAGTCCCTTTGTACTCTGCACTTGTCAGACCACACCTGGAGTGTTCTGTACCATTCTGGGCACCACATTTGGAAGGGATATTGACAAACTGAAGGACAAGAAGAATGGTAAGGGCATCTCTGCCACATGAGAATGAGTTGAAGAAACTGGGGAAGAAAAAGAAAGGCAGAGGGGAGACAGTGATAGCTCTTTTCAAGTTCTTTGAAGGCGTGTCTTATGAAAAAGACAGAACTAGGTCCAGTGGTAAGAAGTTAGTGGAGTCAGATTTTGGCTCTACACAAGGAAAAACTTCCTAAGAATTAGAGCTGCCCAAACCTGGAATGGGTAACTTGGAGGATAATTGACCTTTTGGTCACTGAAAATCTAAAAGTAGGATCCATATGACCAATTTTCAGCAATGTTAAAGACAGGATTGATGATTTGGGCAAAGGTTGGAATGGAGTATACCCTTCCAACTCCGCTGACTGTGATTCTTGTGGTCTATTTATTGACTTAGTGATGCCACAGGATGTGGTGTGTGAGAGTGTGGTTCCTCTCCATGATATTGATAGTTAAAGCTTAGGGATGCACTACAAAAACATGACACCAAAGGTGATTGTGGGGGAGGGAAATCCCTAACTTACTATAGGCACCATAGGATATATTCTCCCATGTTCAGAGAGCTTAACTATGGGAAACATAACATAAGGATAATTATTCTCTCTCCATAAAAGTATTCATTTAACAGTTGAGAGGTCGTAATCCCCCAGGAAGCAGTACTTACCATTTTCATACATGCATTGGAAAATGGAGTACCTGGTGAAATTTCTAAGATTGCAGATGACACTTGACTCTTTCAGATAATGGAAATGGTGAATATTACTAGGAAAACAGCAGTAAGATCTCTCAAAGCTTTGTGAGTAGACAGAAAAGTGGCAGATGAACTTCAGTGTGGGCAATAAGGTAATAGAAGTGTGTAAGGAAGACACCATGGTATTATAGAAAGAGCAGTCTCTCTAAAGGCAAAATTTGAGGAAAGGCTTAGAGAAGGGAGGAGACCAGAAGCAGGGAAGCCAGCTAGAAGGCTATTACAGTAGTCCATAATTGAAGGCCCTAATGATGGTGATAAGAATGAATATGAGAAAAGTGGAAATGGTTGTTGGAAATATTGCAGAAATAAAATGAATAGGATTTGGCGACTAGTTGAATGTGGAAGATAAAGGAGAAGGAAGAATAAAAGATGAATCTAATGTTTTAATCTTGTGTAACTAGAAGGATAACGACCCTCTCTACACAAATAGGAAGGATGGGAAGAGGGGCAGGTTTTAAAGGAAAGATGCTAAGTTCAATTCTGGACCTGTTGATTTGAGGTGTTGGTAGGACCAAGTGGAGATCTTTGTCAGGTAATTGGAAATACAACAGTGAACTCCCAAGAGATTAAAGTATTGATTTGGAGAATTAACTACATAGAAAGGATATATCCATGACATGAGATATCCCCAAGGGAATAAGTATATATGTAGAGAGAAATCTGAGGACAGTGACTCGAGAGATACCAGCACTTAGAAGTCAAGAGGAGGGAGACCAACTAAGACCAGAAACAGAAAGAATGGTTGAGCAGGTAGCAGGAGAACCAGGAGCGATCAGTGCTACAGAAGACTGAAGGGAGAGTACGAGAAAGGAGGCAGGGGAGGTTGATCAGCAGTGTCAAATGCTGAAGAATGGTCAAGGGTAGGCTTTAGAAAAGGCCACTGGAATAGGAAATTAATAAAGTCATAGGTGAACTTGGAGAGGTTAATATCAATACAGTGGTTAGTTTGGGAGGCCAAATTGTTAGGATTTGGAAAGTGACTAGGAGGTGAAGTTTAAACTGCAGTAGTATAGGTAACTCTATTAGTTTAGTTGAGGGGAGCAGAAATGTAAGATAATAATTTGACAGGGTATTTGGGTTGAGAGGGCATTTTGTTTCTTAAATGGAGAATCCCAGAGCTTATTTGTAAGTTGAAGAGAAAGGGTCAGGAGAAAGATTGGTGGGAGGCAAGGGGGTGAAGATGGGGAAGAACTTTGGGGGGGTGTTAATAGATCAAAAGAACAAGATTCAAGTGGAAATTTGATCAAGGCAGACATTGAGATTGAGGGCACAAGTTTCACAAGGAGCTCGTCCATCTCGTCCTTTGAGATCATACCAAAGGGAAAGAAGATAGAGAAGGTTCTCAGGTATGAAGAAGGGAAGATGAGAAAGCTCTCAGAATCAATCTTAGTCACTTAGATTTAAGGTCATGGAGTAGAGTTGAAGGCTAGAGGAGATTTGGAGTAACTGCTGTGAGAACCAGGAGAGTTGATGTGAGATGAATTACCCTACAGCAAGTGTTGAGAGAGTGTGTATAGTGGAAAGAAGGTCAGATGGGGATTCAGGAAGCCCTGGGTTGAACTCCTGCCTCAAACACTTAACTGTTACTTTGGACAGGTCACTGAACTTCTCTGAACCTCAGTTTGCTTCTCTTAAAAATTGAAAATCTTAAAAATTAGGTAATGGTACCTACCCTAAAGGATTGTTGTGAGGATCAAATGAGATAATGTATATAAATTGTTTTATAAACTTTAAAGCACTGTATAAATGGTAGCTGTTATCACCATCCTTTTGTCTATTATTAAAAATGAATTTTAGTGGACTTAGTCGACAAAGAGCTTTCTTAATTTCTTCTATTAGTGGCTCAGGGAAAGATGGAAAGAGTAAGGTAGGTTTGGGTATATATATAGGCCAGGAATAGCCCAAGGACAC